TTAAACTTTCACCAGTGAAAATCGAAATTTCCAGAACAGAAGCGATCGTACCATTGTTGTGCTACACGAACAAATTTCATTGGTAGCTTGTGTGACATTCTTCAGTTTTTTTTTACAAAAATTTCAAAAATTTTTCATTATTTTCACTCATTTTTGAACACCCGTAACTTTTTTTTCTACTTGCCCAAATTGTGATTGGTAGCACTGCCGACATACGACAGCATCGACTACCCAATATATCTTAATATAGTGCTTAGTTATGGCATTTTATATGTTTTCGGTTAATGGTGATTTGTGCGCGTGTCAGTGGTCCGTTTTTTTGTACTAAGGAACGCACTTATCAAGTTTCGGAAGTTGATACGTACAACCGTTAGGTGTAGGAAATGGTTGCAAAAGTATAAAAACTGATTGATTTCAGGCATTTTCAACTCTAGAACACAAAGGCAAGAAAGAAATCACTTTTAGAATTACGGGCTTAATGAAAATCGGCAAAAACTTCCACTTCATTACAATGATTAAGTAGGCAATGCGTAAGCGATTAAAACTCTTTGTAAACTGTGCACACTCACGTGAGAATGCCTGGTAGCAAAGGAACTGATTGTTGCCGACCATTCAACAGTTGTGCGACAGCAAAAGTTTATTTCGATTTTGCAACTATCTGTCTTTATCGCTGTTCTGTGCTGTGCCGTCGCCGTTTTTACCTTCAAACGATCAACTAGTAGTGCAGCAATCAGGCATGCAGTCATCCCGGGTATATGCAGCATTGCATTTCACTTTTGTGATTGTGCCAGGGGCACTAAACCAAGCATTCACTCATCATGCCCCCATCTTTCAACTTTTCTTTTGCAATATTTCCGCTTATGGTTGTTATTGTCTCGTATGTCATTGTCACAATGTCTGCTTCTTCTCCAATATAAATTTAAAAATGCTCGCACAAGCGTTACGCTGTCGGTGAACCTGCTCAGACGACATACATATGTACGTCCTCGAATTATCATACGAACGAGAGGGTGCATCGGCAATGTGGTGCATGTCACCAAATGAGCGCCCAATATGTATGTGGCTGTGTACATATATCATGCGAAAATGTCTCACTACGTGCGTGAGCAATGAAAACCGCTGTAAAGTATAGGCAAAAGGCCAACATTCGCAGATAATGAAATTGAAAATGGCACGGAAAGTTCAAAATGTCGTCAAAAGGCAAGATAATGCAATAGCGCAAGAAATTAAGCAAATACTGGAAAATGCAGCATTGACAAAAGAGATAGTGATGAATGGAGGGCAAAGTCAAAGAATGAATGAAGTTGATGATTTGCGTACAGAAATATTGCGGTAAAATACATAATAAGAAAATTGGTTGCTCACTGAAAGCAAAACTATGTATACAAAACATAAAGTCATAACTTACGAACAGACAGGTCTAAAATCGAAAAATACTTGGTTGAAAATCGAAGTCACCCTATCTACCACAGCTCTCCCTTTGTATTTGGTACCATATATCGATTAAAATCGTAAAAACTTCGACTTAACTAGTGTGTAATCACTGAGAGATGGTATTTCGCTTACTAAACTCTCATCGCTTAAACGATTCGTCGAACTTATGAAAAATCATAACTCCATATTTCATCTTATCATCCTTCCCCTTCTCCTTTCTTAAGCATGAAAATAATTATTTTCACTTTCAACACCGCTCTGCACAAGTATTGATATGGCCGGCCGAAAAATGTCCTACACTTAAAAACTTCGCGCGACCTCCGTATCCTTAGGGTTTATTTACCTCGTTTGCCAACTTGCTACGTTTTAATTCAATTTGTTACAAGTATAAATGGCATTTGGACGTGCTGAAAGGGAGGCACTTGCGCGCACACAGATCTATTTCCCTTTGGGCAATTATGTATGTGAGTTGCATCGGTAAGTGGTTAAACGCGGCGACAAAATGTGAGATGAATTCATTGGCCATTTATCAGTGGAAGCTTACAAGAGCAAAGGAAAATTGGTTGTATGAGAAGGGAAAAAACTTTACAATTAGAAAATAATTTAAAGACAAATTTAAAAAATTATGTTAATAAAAAAAATTTT